TTGATAAACTTTATTCGATTTAGTTCTGCCTAGCAAACCCCAACTTGTCAGCGACGAGCAAATTTTTTGAGGAAAAATCCGGAAAGATATACTGTAAGAATGACAGACAATCGGTCGCAATTTGCTTGACGAGGGCCTCAATTTCGAGGGCAAATACCTGAAATCTTCTTTCTTGGACTTGTCAGAGGGTGAACTTTGAACTGTAAATGGCTTGTGCATGGGATTCACCTACCTGTCTTTTCGCATATCCAGTCCAAATATTGACGCACATCAGTGAAGTTGTCCTCCACACCATCTTCGACGTAGTTATCAGTTAGGGAATTTATGTAGTCTGGAAATGAACAATGTACCGCAGTTCCGTCTCTACTCCAGTTCAACTTGCTATCATCTCACTTATGAAGTGCATTTGAAGGCATATAAAGTCGTTATCGCTGAAGTAGGTCGGGGCATGTCAGTGGTGCTTAGGTTTGAGCACAGCGCCTCTCTTTCTCATCAGTCACTGAAAGCCAGTAGCCGCAGCGATCGTGGAAAACTGGCTGAAAGCGCGCTAAAGCCCGTGCAACTCTGGCACGCCTCGAGTGACTCCAGTGATAATGATTGCACCGCTCACATAGTCACCATTCAATTCAGTTTCAAGAGACCTGAGGTGGCGTTTCCCACTTGGATGACCTTCTACCCCTACTGAAGGGAAACAAACCACGACGCCACGAGAAGGAGGCGAGGTCTTTCCAAGCCTTGACAACTCGAATTGCGACGATAACAACTATAATAGGACTAGAAGCGTGTAACAGTTATATCGTTCACTTTGTATCATTTCTCGATAGATGTGAAAGCCCCCAAGTCGCCTCAGTCAGAAAAAAAAGCTCCAAAATTTCTAGAAAAAATCGTTGCAACTCACGCTCTTCGCATGATAAGCCTCCAGACATCACTCCCATCTGTACATTTTTGTTCTCAATGTTAGTTTGGAAGAGCGGACCTCCACTGTCCCCCTTGAAAAAAAAGGTCTCACATCAACTACAATTTGATTAAATGCCCACATTTTTCCACAAAAAACGCTTCCTCCTCTGACAGAGCCGCATCGCCCTTCCTAGCGTCTCACGGTTCGATCTTCCTTACAGACTCAATACTACGTACAACTCGACCACCGGGCAGCTACCACACTGAAATACTTTTGGAGCTGCCTTCTGAATAAGCACCACAATAGATCTCGCAACGAGGTGACACCGGAACCTTAGCTCTTCTCCTGTCCTTGTTAGCAGCTGGTTAATCTCATGAACATACTCAGGCTAATGGTGCTAGTTTTCTAGCAGTCGCCTGTCTTCCTCCTCCGCATATGCCACATTCCAGCTGCAATGACCTTTAGTGCCGGGCATACGCCCTGGAGAGGAGAACACGAAGAGCGATTGCCACACTAACTGCGATTTTGCTGCTAAGGTTCTTGGAGTATTGATGTAGTACGGGATTTTGAATGTGGCACATAAAGATGCCAGGCGACAGACGGTGTCAGGTAGCGTGGCGTGAACCCCCGGCAGCAGCCTTTCTACAAATTGTTGGTTCAGGAGCTTTCTATCAGCAATTACTGGTGGAAAACGCGAGTTTGAGAAAACGTTGTCGCGATAGGCTCATTTCACGGTCTCTCCTTGCTTTTACAGGAGGGTGCTACTAAACCAAAACATCACTCTTCATCGACCCAGCGGGATCGTTTTTCCCGGACCACATCCCGTGAGATCCCGGACGAAGAGACATACACTGGATATCCCTGAGATGGGGTAGGCTTGGCTCGTACCCTAACTGAATGTGGCGGTGGCTGTGCTTTGAGAGAGATATTTTCATTTAGGAACAATTATAGTCGTGTCTCTGTCCAACACGGTACGAGATGACAGCTGTCCCAAAGTGAAATATCCCACGAGTACCCTATTCAATGCCACACTCAAATGCCACGCCTACTCCGTCTCAGGGATAGAAAGTATACATTCCGTCAGATTCACAGGCCGACAAACAAAATCAATGGTTTATATAACGAAGTGATACTTACATTGCATATGCCGACTGTTGGAGGCGTTTCCACTACTATGAGGGTGTCTCGTGTTTCTCGAAGTTTCACATCCACCAATTGCTGTCCATCAGGTTCATGCGGAATATAATCTTTGTTCGCTGAAATGTTTCAAGGATTCGTGAGATTTCCAAACTGTTGAAGCACCCAACTGAAGAAAGAGGTTATATAGTCAGGAAGGGTCGAAGCGAGCGTGGCGACTGTTACATTTCCCGAGATAGTGATCCATTTCTCTGCTAACAAGAAGACCTTTATTCAAGGGGGACGCTAAGTGTTGCAATCAAGCAGAAAACTTGCGCTTTGTCTAGCAAAGACTTCTCAACTCCCCAGCACACTTCTGGAATCAGCATTACACAAACCGCTGTCAAAAAAGGCCAATGATGCCATCGCCCTTAACGCGGGGACCTATTGGTTTTGTGTCAAGCAATTGTGTCATTCGGCCCAGGATGATGGAACAACTTCCGAAGACTAGTTTTCAGCCAAAACCGCCCGTGCCTTCGCAAAAGAAAGATTCAGTGAAAATCTGATCTCACTGGGGCAGCAATGCCTCAGTTGTTGGCTTGTGAGTCGGGTTTCTCGCGCCACGAAGTTTGCTGTTAACTATACGACTACAGAATGGATACTATAACCAGAAACTCACGACCAGTGTTGCCAGCTCCAATGGCTTTGAGATTATCGTCGACACTTGGTTAAATGTTTCGGCAGACAAATTGCGGCGTCGCCCTCGCGTTTCGCAGGAACCATTTTTGCAGAGAGTTCAGATTACGCGGACATTATCGTTTTCACCGCTACCATCTTTCTCCAAACGCGCCTCATCTATCAGTAGATCTAAAATCCACAAAATAAATGGTTGGGAGGCGAGGGAAAAATACCATGCATTACCGTTCTCACTGCACAGCATTGACTGGCCTCGAACCCATCTAGATGCCGGCCACTCTGAGGATAAGCACACGTCACCACTGCTCCAAAACCATCGCCACAAAATTGAACCGTTTTCTGCCGGTAATCCCTCCTTAAGAACACTACTTAAGATTAGATGTAATTTCGCCAGGGCGACAGGGGAGTTAGCCTTCACCGATGTCGAGAATGGACCATTCGCACGATTCGTTCTTCTATTTGGCCGAGCGCGGCGTTACAACAGGCCATTCTTGAAGCCACACAGATGCAAGCGGCAGTTAAAACGTGACGAGGAGAAATCAGTGATCCAGTGCAGAGCCCTCCTACAAACATATTTTTAAAAAGTTCTCGCTCAAAATTCAATCAGCAGAGCACTAACCGCTAGACCTGAGTGTAACTACCCACGGATACTTATCCTTCAGCTTCTGTCCACCAAATGATTTGGCCACGAATTCTGAAATGTAATATATTACTGGTCACTCTGGTGCTATTACGGCTTCATATAAATATAATTCATATGAAAAATATATATAATATATAAAATGAATATAAAATACTGACAATATAAAGTATCATATAAAATATATCATATAATATATCACATAACTTCATATAAAATACTAACAATAAGCTGTTAAGTCGGCTTAGATGTTTCATTTTGTTTCCTATGTATTTGTATTTGTATTATTTGTATTTGCGTAGCGTGAGAAGTAACCTACCGCTGGGAAAGCTGTAAGGACGCCTCACAAGTCCATAGCTAGCATGAGCGTTCGAGTACAATCCGTTAATAAGACAAAGGCAAGTAAGAAAAGAGTAAAAGTGGTATCGTGGGCACTCTTTGTTCACTGATAACACCTCGTGATAAGCGATACTTTGGTGCAAGAGGTGTTAGCTCTGTAAGGTGGAGCTGACCGCGAACAAGATGCATCACGCACCCAGGGTAAAGCTGCTGCTGCTAAGGGGAAGAAAATGGTGGCTCCCCGAAAAAAACTTCCCTGCGGCGCGCTCGCGTGCTGGCTGTAGCAGCAGCGATAGCACGGTGAAACGGCAACAAAGGCCAATGCACTGTTGAAGCAAGGTCAAGAACACACCCTTTGGCACTCTGCAATCCTACGACATGGAGCCAAGGATTTCAACAGCACCGAGACATGGGAGAAGTTGAGAAACATATTCCGATGGTGCAAGCTTCTTTTTCAAGAGAAGGGCCAGTTCTACTGCGAATGCCGTTTTTCGTTACCACCACCACCATTACACAGCCGCTCAGAACTAGCGCACTTCCAGGCACTCTCCGAGGTGAAAAGACAGTGTTGGAGGCAGGGAGCACGTAATAAATGAGAAGGCATCGTTGCTAGTCGGTAGGAACGAAAGTGAGGCAAATCGTGGTGGAAAGAGGAACATCCGCGCAGCGTAAGACGTTTTTCAAATAAGCTAATGCAAATTCGCACCAGGCCCTTGGTTCTTAGACGTGAGACAACGTATGTCGACTAAAAGAACCACGCTCTGTAGACAGGCTCCCCCAGGTTCTATGTACTCATGAGCGCGTGGATATTTTAGCCCCTGCAAAACCGTGTTGGCCCGGTCGAGGGCGAATATGACTCGGATGAGGCACCCTAAAGTTTGCCTGTGACATAGTCGTGTTTGCTGAGGATGCTGGGCTTGGCAAGGCGCCAGCATGTTTCCCACCGATTGTTGTCGCTTGCCCAGCCTCCTACCCCAACAAGCCGAGCGAATGAAGTCATCCGAGGAGCTCGCCAAGATTCCGCCCATCTCTCAGCCACAAACAAACTTCCCTCCAAGAGTGGGTCGAGGGCCGTAGAAAATCAGCTTTTTCACATTTTCCACACAATAAAATTTACCTCCAACTTAGTTTGGCTTAATGCAATAGCCCTGACTATCCTCAGCTTGGAGAAGTTTCCAATGAAGCTACTTCCTTATCCCTCGTACGCATATCGACCTAGCGACATGCATACCAGGGATAAGATATTGTCCTCAACAAAGAAAAAACACTTTTTTCCTCGACTTTCAGGGCGATATTCAAATTCTGACGGACATTCTCACCACCAAATTCAACAACATATTGTATACGATCACGATACTCCGCCACAGCCTTCTGGACGAACGCCATCGAGAGATTCTGCCACGCGACCGTGATTCGGTGCCTGAGTTCAGCGAGGTCGTTGATTTCTCCGCCACTGTAGACCACACCTGTTGACCTCCGCCCGAACCCGGTAGTCAAGAAGGTTTGGATCAGTAGACCCGCTTGGATATTCCGTCTTCCTCAGGATCTCAACAGCTTTCGATTCCAAGTAGGCCAGAGTTTTCCAAAGCTCTTTGATTCCATGTGGTGGCACCCAACCCTGTAGCAGTACGAAGTTTCCAAGAAAGTACAGGCGATTACATGAAGGCAGGATATTATCCTCGAGTTGGTCGATGTAACCATCAGCATTCACTCGAAGTCTGGGAACCACGAAAAAAATCTCGGTCTTCTCATTCCAGGAACCCCTGGTCCACGTCATCAACCTTGGCGACTGTGGTGGAGATGACATCCTGGACTGTAGCGACGTTGTCAAAGCTGCGCGAAGTTAGAGGTCGTCCTGATCCAGTGTCGGTCCCCAGGTAGCTTTCCATGGGTGAATTGATACAAGAAGTTTCTGTTTAGAAGTGACGTGAGTTCCCTGCAAAGAGATGGCTTCATATTTTGCTGTACATGAAGGTGATGGAAGGAGCCTGCTCCTGCTTATCAAGGGAGTGTCGTGGGTATCTTCCTCCTTGGGTACTCTCATCTACCTTTTCTGTCTGAGCTGCGGGAAACTTTACTGGCATGTGTTTCGACCAAAATGTCTTTTTTTTGCCCCCCCCCTCCTGTATAGGCAACCTCCAAAATAGTGCTCTGGACTATACAATGATTATCAGATCGGGAGCAACCTTAGCATAATTGGTGCTTTGTTAAAGGCAGTTGGCGCGATAAATCCCTAAAAAAGAGTGGGATTGATACGCCTAGCAAGACTTCTTCCGCGACACCGAGCAGGCGCTGCGTAGCGCATTTAGCAAGGAGGGCACCCTTATAAGGGCCCTATTAAGCTACAACATAGCGACCCGAACGCTCACCACGCCCTCCGCCCAGAAATAGACGACCGTACCTGATCCTCGTATTGCTTTATTTGCTAAGTAAAATATGAAGCAAAGAGATCGGTATGAAGCGGCTACGGTGCTGCATGCATATATGAGTACGTACAGTACGGCAGCAGTACGACCCGTAGCCGTTATTGGCAAGATGCCCAGGGGAAACTCGTCCGAAACTGCTTCTTGATTCATTGAAAACGAAGGCTTTTCTAAGCAGGTTTTTGAGTTTCGTCGTTTTTCCTTCTATGTAGCGCCCTGCTAGCATTTTAGGCAGAGTACCAAAATATCGTGCCAACTGCCTTCAAATGATGCAACTTACTTCGATATGTCGCTCCACAATTTATCGAGAGATTTGCGTTTTCCTCCGCTGTTAGTTTTCCAGAATATACAAATGGTACGAGAAGTAACCAAAGCCAAACCAACATCTGAACATTTCAATTTGAGATCATGAAGGAAGCCTGCACGAAGGTATGAGTCGGAGGGAGAATCATAGCCGCTGTTCAGCTCGGGAGGGACATTTTGCACCTTTATTAGTTCCTCTTTCTAGTCCAAGTTGAGCAAAAGTCACTTCGGGGAGACCTGTGAACCCTTGTGAAGCTGCAAAATGGTACAGTGAATCAGTTCGCCTACAAGAGTTTGCAGGTCTTCTTAAGCTAGCCTGTACAGGCATCACGGACTACCGTTTGTTGCCCCTCCGAGCCGAACCGCGCTCATTATAGTAATGTGGTATAAGATGTTATTACATATTTATCCGTCATTCCGGTCTTACTACACTTTCGGGTCAAAACTTGTTTTGGGGTTAAAACTACTGTGAGAGAGAATTAGATGGCAAAAAATAGCTGGACCGTGGAATTTCGTCCATCTTCATCTTTTTTTCTGGACCGCTAAGAGAGAGAAGGAGAGGAGATAAAGCGCGTCAACGGAAAATCTTAACAATCAGAAAATTTTTGCTTCAGCTGGGTATTACAAGCCAATGCGACCCAGCACCCTCCCCCCCATGTTGGAAATTTCACAACTTACGACGTGCCCTGACCTAGGAAACAGCGCAGCTGCAGTTGGTTCTGTCGCAGTCCGCAGGAACGGTGTCAGGAGGTGTAGGATGAGCATAACCGCGGCGTTTTCTACCACTGATTTTCGACTGCGTGAACTGGCCAATTGGTAGAGAATGCTGCCGCGGAGGCACACTCCGTAGCTGCTGACACCGACCCTTATTG